CTTAATTTTTTTTTAATGTTTATTCATTTTTTGAGAGACAGAGTGTGAGTGGGGGAGGGGCAGAGAGTGAGGGGCTCGAACTCACGGACAGTGAGATCATGACATGAGCTGAAGTCAGACACTTAACCCACTGAGCCACCCAGGTGCCCCTTCGAGCATGTGACTCTTGATCTCAGGGTTGTGAGTTCGGGCCCCATGATGGGTGTAGAGATTACTTAAAAATGAAACCTTAAAAAAAATAGTAATTCTCTTGCTTAAAATTCCGTGATGGCCCCTAAGTTCTGTCCAAATTGCTGAGCTAAATAATTCAGTCCTTCTTCACTCTGGCCATCCCTTTTCTTCCCCGAAGTCCTCCCTTACAAACTTTCTCTCTTTTCTTACTTTTGAGCCTTGAACACCTGCTTTTTCAGCCTGAAATGTCTCCCCACCCCCTCCCTACCTCGTAACTCTGCCTGGAAAACATTACTCATCCTTCAAGGCCACTAAAACCACCTCCCCCTTCCTCCTGGACACTTAGTCATTTCTTCGTCTTTGCTCCCACGACCCTTGGTAAATGTTCAGCCACCCTTTGGCAAACACATCTGCTATGTGCCAGACAGTGTTCCCGAGGGCTTTGCAAATACTAACCCACTTAATTTCCATACAACCCTGTGAGGCGATTATTTTTGTTATCCCTGTCACAAAGGAGGCACCTTGAGGCCCTGGAGATGTTCAGTCACTTGCCCAAGATAACTCAGCTGGAGGTGGCTGGGGCAGTATTGGAACGCAGGCCTTATGGCCCCAGTCTGGGTTCTGGTTCCTCGAACTGGGCAGCCTCTCTACTTGGATGAATATCATTGAACACCTAGTGTGAAGCTAAATAACATGAAATCGCCAATACGTGACCATCTTTGACCTGTAAAAGCGGCACATTTGTATGGTTTGGTGTGTTAGGCACTTGAGACAGAGCAGAGAACTCTCTGGATGGACGCACTTTTGTCCCTAGAGAGACAACAGTAGAGCGTGGATGAAGAACAAGGAGTCGACTGCGCATGTGGCCTGATTTAGGAGGTGTGCGAGCGCCCCTGCCGAGGAACTGATGCCCCAGAGAAGACCTGAAAGAGGTGTAGAGGTGGAGGAGGAGTTTGGGGTGAGGGGAAGAAGGGAAGGGACTTCCAGGCAGAGGCACAGGCTTGGAACAACATAGGCTGAGGCCCAAAAGCTAAGAGGAAGAGCTGCCCATTCTGTCACCCAGAAATTACTCCTTGGCGCAGAGCAGGTGTTCAATAAGGACTTGTCAAAAAAGTAAATGAAAACGGGGGTGCCTGGGTGGCTCAGTTGGTTAAGCGTCCGACTTTGGCTCAGGTCACGATCTCGCGGTCTGTGAGTTCAAGCCCCGCATTGGGCTCTGTGCTGATGGCTCGGAGCCTGGAGCCTGTTTCGGATTCTGTGTCTCCCTCTCTCTCTACCCCTCCCCTGCTCATGCTCTGTCTCTCTCTCTCTGTCAAAAATAAAAAATAAACATTAAAAAAAAAGACTCAATGAAAACAACGGAGAGAAGGGTCAGCTGGAACTGACACAATGAAAGCGGGGATCTAAGCAGGAGAGTGACGTACTTTTTTATTGTCTTCAAGTCAGGTTTAATGAGGTATCATCACAGAGAGCAAAATTCACCCTGTTTTATGCTTAGTTCTATGAGTCTTGGCAAACGCATCAGTGGTGCAGCCACCATCAGAGACAAAATATAGTTCAGTCCTATCCAACCCCCCCCCCCCCCCCCCCCCCCCGCCCTCCCTGGGGGGGGGGGCTGCTCCTTTGTGGCCCGCCCCTCCCCCACCCCGCCCCAGGAAACCACCAGTCTGTTCTCTTGCTGTGGTTTTTGCCTTTTCCAGAATGTCATGTGGATGAACTCAAATACCATGTAGCCTTTAGAATCTGACTCCTTTATTTAGAATACATTGGAAATGTGTCCCTGTTGTGTGTGTGTGTGTGTGCTCGGTTCCTTTCTTTGTTGCCCAGGAGAATTACCCTGCAGGGGAGTCTCACAGCTTGTTTACCATATACTCACCGGGTGATGGATTCAGATTCACTTTAAAAAGCAAACACCACTGCATCTGGTATGGATGGAGTGGGAGCTTCCGCGTCTCTGCCCTACATCCGCTGGCTGGACGGTGAACGGTGGAGATGGGAACCATGTCTTTGTCGGTTTTACTGTCGGCTCCCAGCACCCGCCAGGGCACAGACGGTTCTGAGGGAGGAATGGAAGCCACATGGGGCAGAGTGTGGGACAGAAGGGCCAGGTGCAATCACTGAGAGTGAGGGTAGGGGGTGGGGGGCGCGGCGTGCAGATTGGGTGCTTGGCGTTGGGGGAGAAAGGCTGGGCAAGAAGGGCCTTATTCTGAGAGTAGAGCAAACCAGAATGCCTGGTCTTCGACTTGGAGCAAAATGAGGAAGCAAAACAAAACCCTGCAACGTGCTATCCAGCCTTCTCCCCCCTCCCCCAGAGGGGCCACGAGTTCTGTCCTTGGCTGGAGCACAGGAGGCTTCAGGTCTCCTCCTGGCCGACAGATGGCGATGTCGCACCGTGTCTGAGCTCGGCCTCTGCGGTCACCCACTCATTCAACAGACACGAGGGGCCCGTTAGCGGCTACACGCTGGCGGGAACTACCACCTTGTCCGCAACTTTTTTTTACAGGGAAAGGACTCACCCACACTCTTGAAGCTGTGCCTCATAGAGCAAGGGCTCAAACGCAATTTTCCCCTGCACCTTCCTCCTTGTACCGCCCCCATCTCTAGAGAGAGGACAGTTTGTGGAAACATTAGGCGTGGGAGGAGTCTACAAGCAAGAGAGCAAAGGCAGAGGGGCCCGGTTGGTCTGACCCTGCCACCAATTTGCTGTGTGACCTCAGCAGACCTGCCTCTCTCCAGTCTCCACATCTGTAAAAAGCCGAGCTTCCAGCTGGAAAACCCTTGGTGCTGTGGAGCACACACATTCTGCTGGAGGCTTCCACTCACAACTAATCCTCCTATGCCAGGCAGACTGGAAAGGCTGCTGGTGACTTTTAGGTGCCTTCTCTTCCAGTTGATAAATAGCTGTTGATCTAGCACTAGGTTTGACACATAAAATACAGGCCACTCAGTTAAACTTGAATTTCAGATAATCGGATAAATTTCAAGTGTAAGTATGTTCTAAATATCACGTAGGATATATTTATACTAAAAAAAGGGGGGCACCTGGGTGGCTTAGTTGGTTAAGTGCTCAACTTGGGCTCAGGTTCATGATCTCATGGTTCGTGGGTTCGAGCCCTGCATGGGGTTCTCTGCTGACAGCTCAGAGCCTGGAGCCTGCTCTGGATTCCGTGACTCCCCCTCTCTCTGCCCCTCCCCTGCTCACTCTCTGTCTTTCTCTCTCAAAAATTTTTTTAAAAAGTTAAAAACAGGGGCACCTGGGTGGCTCAGTCAGTTAAGTG